TTGGCCTTCAAAGTAGCACACTGTGCATCCAAATGCAAATGTATTCTTAAGTTTGTAGGAATATTTCTTCATATTCTCCACTAGATTTATTTTTTTTTTTTTTTTTAAGATTTTTATTTATTTATTTGATAGAGAGAGATCACAAGTAGACGGAGAGGCAGGCAGAGAGAGAGAGAGAGAGGGAAGCAGGCTCCCCGCTGAGCAGAGAGCCCGATGCGGGACTCGATCCCAGGACCCTGAGATCATGACCTGAGCCGAAGGCAGCGGCTTAACCCACTGAGCCACCCAGGCGCCCCTCTCCACTAGATTTAAGTGAATCTCTGGGAGTTGGGGGGGGAGTACATGCAAATCAACTCTGTTCCATCACCAATGTAACAAAAGAGTAGTTACACAAGCACACTAAAAATGCAGGACGGGGGTCGCCTGGGTGGCTCAGAGGTTTAAAGCCTCTGCCTTCGGCTCAGGTCATGATCCCAGGGTCCTGGGATGGAGCCCTGAATCGGGCTCTCTCCTTGGTGGGGAGCCTGCTTCCTCCTCTCTCTCTCTGCCTGCCTCTCTGCCTACTTGTGATCTCTCTCTGTCGAATAAATAAATAAAATCTTAAAAAAAGAAAAATGCAGGACGACCCAAAGCAAAAGCCAGTGCTAGTCACAGTTTGCATTAGACAAATCTCATAATTGCTTTAAAGAAGAAAAAAAAAGTTTAGGAGCGCCTGGCTGGCTCAGTCAGCAGAGCGTGCAACTTGTGATCTAGAGCTTGTGAGTTCAAGCTTATGTTAAGCATAGAGCTTACTTTAAAAAAACGTTGAACTAATGGAAAATTATGTTTTAAAATGTCAATTTCGTGAAATTACTCCATCGTCCACGGGAGTTCAATCCAAATAACTCAAAGTTGCATCTGAAATAACAGCTAACTCGTTTCTTTACACTGAAAGCATATCATGAAGATGACATCTACCTGCACAAAAGAAATGGCATACGCATTCACGGACTGTTCCAAACAGATGAAAAGCAAAAATAGGGTAGCTCTGTCCTACTCACCTTTCTTACTACAGAAGCTATTGCTGACATTCACCACATGCCTACTAGGTGCCAGGCACTGGTGTAGGACCTTCCCATATACTATCTTACTTAATCTTCCTGACACCCAAACTTGTGAGGGAAGTACTACTGTCATCTAATTTTACAGATGACCACATCCGAGCACAGAGAAGGTTAATCACTGACCCAAGATTACCCAGCTCCTAGGCAGAAGAGGATTCAAACCCAGGCAGCCTAACTCGAAGCTCAAGCTCTTACCACAAGCCAGTAGCAAGCACGTGATACACATATGTGTTGAATTCACACCTTATAATTATTTGAACTACGACCTGTATAGTCAGATACACATTTTAAAAATGCACACAACAAAAATCTACTCTTTGTTCCCATTCATCCAATTAGTAAAGGTATGATTAGGCACAGGCGACAGACTGTAAGCAATCTGAAGGCAGAATACTTTACAGTGCCCTACCAAAAGAACAGAGCCAGAGAATCTCAGATCAAGACTTCTCAAAAAAAGAAAAAGGAAAAAAAAAAAGGAAATCAAAGAAGGTAGGACAAAGACAGCCAGGGTGAGCTGCTGACCAAAGTGTGTCACAAATGCCCCTCCTCTCCTGAGACCTGTTCCGCAATGATGCCCCAGGCACCGCAGAACTGCCGGTATCAAGCCGGAGCCCACGAACCCCGTGCTGCAGAAATCAACAACCTAACAGGAAACTCTCTCCTCTTCTCTACTCATTCTCTTCAGCCCAGGGTCCTACTCCAGGAGGTCTGAGAGTTAACAGAATTTGGGAAAAAGCCAGTTTCACCACTTATTGTCGGACAGAGGGCAGTAGCTTAGTCAATACATGAAGTTTACTTTAGCCTCTCAGTCCTTGGAATGGATGGTGTGTGTAAGAAAAGGTGATCGTAAATACTTCCCTGATGTTCAGAAAGCACCGATTACCTACCCTCCTTCGACCAATACAAGTATCTTCTGAATTACCTGAGTCTGATGGTTAGACATGATTTTAAGAAAAGCCCTGACCATTCAGTGTCTTACAGGGGCAAAAGGAGAAAGAAAACAATCACAGACCTCTAAAAGATGAAACGAAAAATTATAGATTCTGGAAAGAGATGGGAAAAAAAAATAATAACTCTCTTTGGTTCCAAGTGACCTGAATGCAGAAGTAAAATAAAGGCTGCAGTGCATGGGAAGAAAAATCTATCTCCCTAAGCAACTGAAACGGCAGCTTCTGCGTCTACTAGTACCTAGCTAGGCACCTTCCTCGTCATTATATAACCACACCATGGCCTTAATAGGCCATCACACTGTATGTCAACAGCTGTTAGGCACATCTAAGCTGTCAGCATTTAAGAATCCCTTCCAAAGTGGATTCAGATAACCAGGGAGCAGGCCAAAATATGCTCATCGTTCACCCCAAGCACATGACAACTCCTTGGGAATCAAGCTTCACTCATGTCGTCAGAGTAATTTAAGCAGCACAAGATAGGGTGCTTGTAACTGTAACTAGGAAATTGCACTCTGCTACAGAAACACAAATGAGGGCTGCTGTGGTCCTCGCACACATGCAACTCATTGTCCAAGCCATCTCGTTCGGTCTCATTCAGGATTTCAAATATTTCCATACATACGAATTACATAACTGCACACCACAAATGATCAAAGATAAAAACCAACATAAACAGTGACACCCGTTTATAAACAAGCTAATGTTTGAAATGCTGCAGTCCTAAAGGACACCAAGGCCTCAGAGAAAAACCAAGAAACACACACACACACACACACACACACACACACACACACACACACGTGAAAATTAGAAAGCAAGCAGATCAGCCATAATTAGCCACTGGCTTTGCTGACTATGGAAGATAAAAATGTCTCTTTTATATATAAAGCCAAGAATCAACTGTTTGCGATTACATTTACAAAAACATACAACCCTGTCTGTCACAGAATTTTTTATCAATATTTTGGTGTATCCAAGGGCTGCAAGACACAAAATTATTCAATCGTAGATACCATAAACCAGGAAACCAATTAAGTTCATGGCGTCCATCCCCCGGAGGTCAGAGCAAAATAATCACAGGAGCTCAATGTGATTACTTAGAAGAGAGAGGGGGAGGTTAAAAAAAAAAAAAAAAAAGGAAATACTGAAACAAGGAACAAAGCTCTCGAACAACTAGGGTTGTTTATAAACATAACTTCGGTTAGGGAACAGTAAACAGAACTGTAAACACCTGGGAGCAGGGGTGGGGTGGGCAGAGAGGCACCAAAGTGTTCACTCAATCTAGTTCCCCTCAGGGTCCGAGGGTGACATCAGAGAACCCTGGACTTTGGTATCTCATTCAGCTCAGACCTGCGGACTTGAGGCCCTCTGATAAAAACTGACAGAAAGGCTGAAGGGGGCCCCCCAGAGGAAGTGAAACTGACCGATCAATTTTCCACAACCACCTACCCTGCCACCCTGGTAAAAAGGGCCCCTTGTAGGCTTTGACAGAAAGGAGGGAAAAGGGAACTCCAGCTTGTGAGTGAGCAGGAGAGAAGGCCCAGACAAGTTACTGGCTTCTGAAAACAAGCAAATGCCATAAAAGCAAAAACCAGGTCAGCAATGATAAGGGCTAGGCTGAGGAGGTGAGGAATTGATGTGGCTTTGGTAGGAAGCGACAGCAGCTATAAGGCTTCTTCATCAGGATGAAGGAAAACACAAACTGCAGATTTAGAAACAATGAATGACTACACTGAAAGTATTCATTCAAGTGAGAGATTGAGCAAAGCAAGAAATCTGGAGTACAAATGGGCTTTGTGGGTCCTCTCAAAACCAATTTGATTCCAATACTCCCAATGTAGAAGGCTACCCACATTTCCTCAAAAACGAATTTTATATGTAAAATCGTATATGTGTACTTATAGGGCTTCCTAATTGACCTTGGTCATTTCACTATTACAGCTCCACAAATCCCTTGAGAACCGAAGGGCCCAACCAGTGTAATCCTCCAGTGTCTGGGTTCCTCATCCACCTCCTCAGTCACCCAGGCTTTTCCCCCCACCGCTGAGAGCCCACCCTAAGCTCTAGAAAGTCCATGATTCCAGACCCTCCAACAACTAAAAATAACCAGTAACCCAGCTCGCCCAAATTGTTTAACCCCTGACTACCTAGTGCCACCATGAACCTGGGGAGCCCTGGGCCTCTTTTCCCTAAGCCCCTTACTGCGGAAAAGCAAAATAATTTTCTTCCTCCTTATTTTCCCATTTTCTTCATCGCCTCCTCCAACAATCTCGTCTGTCCTCAGGCTCCCATTCCTACCATCCATCAGTCTTAGACGATCAAACGCTGATTGACATCTGTCATAAGGTACCAGGTCCCTCACATCTCCTGGTACCCTGCACCCACCACACACCCCTCGTACATGCCCCTGGCGTCCTTGTTCCCCTCCTAACTCCCCCAGGCTGCCAGTTTACCCTTGTCTTCCCCATCCTGCTGGCCACATTTCCTATCCTCCTGCCCTCATTCCCTTAGGATTTCCTAATTGCTGGTTCCAGAGTCCTCTTGGCTTCCAGTCTCCGGCTCCGTGAGAGTTCCAAACCTCTTCTTCCAGTCACCCACTCCGCTACCCTCCGAAGAGCCCCGGCTGAGCACCCCCTCCCCATCGCCGGCTCCTCGGTCCCCCAGGTCTCCGCGCTCCGGGGGCCCCCCTGGCCCCCTCGGCCGCGGAGTTTACCCTCTCCGGGATCCCCAGCGTCCCCTACCTCCGGCTCGCCCCCTCCTCACTCCCCTCCGACAGCCCCCTCCCCGTCCGTGTCCCCGATCCCCAACGCTCTCCACTATCCCGAGCCGCGCTCGCCGCGCCGACCCAGCAGCCTCGCTGTCGCGGGTCCCTCCTGCCTCGCCGCACTCAGACGGACGGTCCCGGGCTGCGCAGCCCCGCAGCCACCCGCTCCCGCCGCGCCACTACCTTGGCCTTGGTGACGAGGTGCGTGGCCCGCTTGACCACAGCGAAGTTGCCCTTGCCGATGGTGCGGTCGATCTCGTAGTAGCCGATGCGGGCAGGCACCGGCCCGCGGGAGGCCGGGGCTGGGGGACGCGGCGGGCCAGCCGCCGGGGGCACGGCAGCGGGGGCGGCCGGGGGCCCCGGGGCGGGCGGGGGCAGCAGGCGGCCCGCCGGCCCGGCTCCCCCCGCTCCGGCCCCAGCAGCCCCGCCAGCTCCGCTCGCCGCCGCCGCCGCCATCTTGTTGTGCAGTGAAACCTCCCGGGCCGCGGGGAGCCGGCGGGGGGGAGGGGGCAGGGGGGCGGGAAAAAGAGGGGGGGCCTGGCTGACGTCACTCCGGGAGGCGGGGCGCCCGCGCCGCCGGGGCCCGGCGCCATGGCAACCGCGCGTCACGTGGCGACGCGCGTCACTGCCCGCAGCCATGGCAACCGTGACCTCACCGGCAAGCTCGACCTTCGCGCGTGGGCCCTGCTGCTCTGGCGGTGGCTCCCGGGTGCCCCCCTCTGGGGATGAGACGGTGGGCACCGCGAGCCTGCCAGCCAGTCCCCAGCCGCCGCCGCGCTCCCGAGGCGGGGGTGCCGGACGCCAGGCCCCAGGCCGGCCCCCGCATCGCCCCGAGAATGGCTAACGTGACCCCTGCTGTGACCTCCGTCCCAGTTCAGCAGTCACCCGGGCCTCCCTTAAAACAAAATATTTCCTCATCACCAAAAATACCGGCCTTGTCCCACTTTAGCCCTTGAGGCCACAAAGGCAGGAATAGCTACAAGAAACTGTAACCAAGCGGGTAGCGAGGCAGGGGAATTCTTCAGTAAAATTCCTTCTCCTAACACAGCCCAACTCACCGGGTACAACTCATCTGACTGTCACCGAAAACAGGGGGCCTAGGGAAACTGGGATTTGCGTGTTCAAGGGTGGAGAAACCAGCCCAAACATGCATTCCAGTCATTGGGTGGGTGAGGGCCAGAGAGGCTACGTCATTTTCCTCCCACCCCGTCTCGGAACAATTCTATAGCGAGATGACTGTCACAGTGCCTGCGTCCTATTTCTGTCACTTGTATAACCCTGATGAAGCAGTGGTGCGTGTTGTCCAGGGAGCCGCGTCATGGTTAAGGACAAAACCGATCTGTTAGGCAAACTAAATAAATACTAAAATGACAATTCCCTCATTACAGGGACTCTCCGAAGATATTAAATGCGATCAAATTTATAATTCCAACAATTAAGTCTCACATTCTTTTTTCTCCCTTCCTCTGCTATCTGGCATTCCACATCCTCCGGGGCCCCACTTGCTCCCGGGGTTTCGCTTCTACTGCGTCCCACCGCTTTTATTAACTAGATTAACCTAACCACATGAGGTGGGGGTGGGAGAGGGATAGGCAACCGGGCTGTCAGTAGCAGGATGGTCTTTGGCAGGCTGGGGGGCGGGGAGAGAGAAGACTGTGAACACTTCCAAGGTTAGGATGTATTCCTTCAGTCCAGTGCTCATCTACCCACTTGTATATGTTTTTCTATGTGGCAGAACCGTGTGGTCAGGTCATTGCATGTCAATATCCAAAACTGACAGCCAGGGCATCATGAATGTGTGAGGGGAGCAGATGTTTACTCTCTCCAACCAAAAGCTGTTTACTAGCCCTCTGGTTCCCCATCTGACTATGAGTAATGGCGGGCACTAGGATGGGACGGAGAGGTCATCATCCCACAGTTGTCTTGTATCAGTTCCCTGGTAGCTGTTCCAAATTGCCAACACAATTAACAGTAATTGGTTCCTTGGTTAGCGCAGAAGGATAAGGACGAAATGGTCCTCAGCTCCTTGTGCTGGTTAAACCCTTTCCTTGGCTGAGCTCATTCAATCCCAGATAAATGACAGGGTGTGGCCAGCCTCGCTTACCACTTCATGACCTCACTCACCTGCCTCTGCATTAATTTCAGTGCTGGGCCCTAGAGTCACAGTTTTACCTTCTCCCTGGGGAGGGCGTCTCAACAGAAACCTTAGCTAGCTGGGAAGGCAAGGGGAAAAGAATCTTTTACTCTGAAGGCTGCAGGAGTAGCACCGAAACCATTCTCACCAGTGTCTTTGTAGTCTCTCCTCTCCTCATAGATATCAGTGGCGCATCAATTACCCCAACTTCTGGCACTCTCTGGAGGGTATCAAACACAAGAAGCCGCTAAGGAGAAACTAGGAAAGGGAGCATGGCTCTCACTTCCAAAAGGAAAGGCAGATCATGCTTGTCCCCTGATGATGACTGGCGTGTGTATGTGGTGCGTTAGATCATGTATGCTCCCTGCCCATATGGATTGAGGCCAGTAGATGGTGTGTCCTGTGGAGACTTGGACAAAGATTTGCTGGAAAGCTCCCTGAAGTGTCCTCTTTGGTGAGAAGAACATGGAAAATTGTGGAGGGCATTGCACAGCAAAAATCATGAGGGAACAAGGAAAACAGTTTAGATGTATGCATTTAATAAGGATTTCTTGAGTGCTAAGCCTGAGGTAGGTTTAGGGAGGAACTCACAGTCAAAAATAACAATGTGTCAGACACTACACTAAGCAGTTTACGTACATGAACTCACTTAATCCACAACAACCCTATGAGACACATTATATTTTGTCCCCATTTTGCAGATAGGGAAAAAGAGGCACCGCAGGATTAAGGGAATTGGCCATGGTCATAGAACTAGAAAGTGGTAGAACTAGAATTCAAACCCAGGCATCAAACCTCTCGAGCCTGAGATCTTCCGGAACTGGATTATAAACCTTGTCAAGGGAGGACCTGGTAGGGGAAAAAACAGTTTCTCCAGAAGCCCAGGGTGATGGAGCTCAGTTTAGACCCACGGAGGAAGAGGACTTCTGGAATTCTTGAGAGCAGGACAGAGCTGGCACCAATGCATATCAATGAACAGCAGACTACGAGATAGGGCTGAAGTACCTAGGACGGCTTCACTTGTAGGTCGCATCACGATGAGACTCACTGTTGAGGGTGTACTTCGGCTGCCTTTAGAAAGCAGGTGGGTAGGTGTGTTCCCACGCAGCTGCAGACTCAGAAGAGAGGCCCAGGGGCTGAGCTCTCAGAGCCCCTGCCGTCCAGTATAGAGGCAGAGAGCTAACCACCACCCAGTTCCCCAATCAGCTCGGTAACCAACTCACTCTTTTCTAAAAGAGCAAAAGATTGGGGGGGGGGAGGCAAAAAAAAATAGATTCAGAGATGAAAATGAGACATTTTCCTATGTAATGTCATTATGCTTCTTTCTAGAATTTGAAAAGGACACACCAAGGCATTCGTGATGGACACCGTAGGCCCTTAGACACTTCTAGAAATGGCGCCAAACCTCTGAGGACCTAAGTTTTGTCCAGAAAAGAATATAAGCAGTAGGAGGCAATACATTAATTCTTTTTTTTTTTTAAAGATTTATTTATTTATTTATTTATTTATTTGACAGACAGAGATCACAAGCAGGCAGAGAGAAAAAGAGGAAGCAGGCTCCCCACAAAGCAGAGAGCCTGACGCGGGGCTCAATCCCAGAACCCCGAGATCACAACCCGAGCCGAAGGCAGAGGCTTTAACCCACTGAGCCACCCAGGCGCCCCTAATTCTTTTACGATTTCAAAGGCGCTCTTAGCCTGTCTGCAGGGCAGTTTCCCCGCGACCTGAAAGAAAACTGCAGCCTCACCACATAGCTCCAAAGATTCTCTGAGCCATCAGGGCCTTGAGGAAAGTCCAACCCTCACTTTACATCGGCCCAACTTATTACTGCTCCGAAAAAAACTAATGTTATACGAGCAACACACTGATAGAGAGGGGCATCATTCAGAAATTTTGTGTGTCAGAAAGCCATACCGTATTTACACGCCATATATTCCCAAACAAGGGAATTATTGGATGGTTATAAATTCTGCCATCACATAGAAATCAGGACACTTTGTTTGATCACATTGTCCAAACCCTCGGTGGCCACGGTTCTCCGGATGAGCCGAAAACGCGCCTGTTTTTGCGAGGGCTGTGCTCTGCGTTATCACCTCAGCTAGGAGGCTGCTGCCTTCCCTCCTCCTATCCCAGATCAACCTTGTCAAGTCCAAAAGCTCCCCCTGGGTGCCAAGAAACAGGTCTAAGCAGCCAAAGTAAGTACATAGTCTCCTGCTAGAAAATATCTCGGGGAAGGGGCTTAAGAGAAGCTAAGTAAGCTTTCAGTCAAGGGTTTTCTGTTCAGCTTGCCCACATTTGGGGTTTTTTTTTTTAAGATTTTATTTTATTTATTTGTCAGAGGTAGGCAGAGAGAGAGCACGCACAAGCAGGCAGAGTGGCAGGCAGAGACAGAGAGGGAAGCAGGCTCCCCGCCAAGCAAGGAGCCCGATGAGGGACTCGATCCCAGGACCCCAGGATCATGCCCTGAGCCGAAGGCAGCGGCTTAACCCACTGAGCCACCCAGGCGTCCCCACGTTTTGCTTTTTAATGGAGCCATTCGAGCTATTATGCAAAACTTAAAAAATTATCCTTAGTACTCTCCACATGTTCTGGGATATGGTTGAAGCATTTTTAGATTACTATTAATTACCCTTTAGATCATCCAAAAGACTTTTAAGTATGAATTTTTTTAAAAATTTCATTTATTTATTTACTTGAGAGAGAGAGAGAATGAGACGTGGGGAGAGGCAGAGGGAGAAAGAGAAGCAGACTCCCTGCTGAGCAGGAAGCCTGACATGGGGTTCCACCCTGGGACCCAGAGATCATGACCTGAGCCAAAGGGAGATGCTTAACAGACTGAGCCACTCAGGTGCCCCACCTATGATTTTTTTTTTTTTAAGATTTTTATTTATTTGACACAGAGAGAGAGATCACAAGTAGGCAGAGAGGTAGGTAGAGAGAGAGGGAAGCAGGCTCCCTGCTGAGCAGAGAGCCCAATGCGGGGCTCGATCCCAGGACCCCAAGACCACGACCCGAGCCAAAGGCAGAGGCTTTAACCCACTGAGCCACCCAGGCGCCCCCTTATGATTTTTTTTAAGGTTTCCTGCACTCTTAAACGTGACTAAATCATCTTTTAGGATCAATGTTTTTCCTCAGGGAGATACACCTTTGGTTTTATATGGGAAAATACACTGGGTACAGAAAAAAAAAATTCATTCAGGACAACTTTTTTCACAAAAGGATATGCTCCTTAAGGAAAGGTACCCTTAGTTACTCTGTGGTCAACTCCTTCATATTTATACCAATACATTTTTTTTTCTTATTATGTGCTTCTTTCTCCTAA